CCCTACCTTTGGCTGAGCTTTCCTTAAAAGTTTAGTCCTTGAGAACCTTGACTATATCAACTCTTCTTCAATTTTGTCCATCAAGTAAGCTAAATTATGGCATTTAGTCCCCTAATTATGTATAGACTATTGCTTCTATGTACAATGACTCACCGAATCTACTGCGAAAAGATGACTGTTCATGCATAAAAATCTTAAGATTTTGGAGGTGAACAACAATTTAGCGATCACCCTGTGTTGAGAGTTTCTCAATATAGTCGATTTTTGGATATGTATTTCTATGAATTAATGAACTGTTTGAGTATCAATAGAGTTAACAAATATTTAGATTAAAACTTTTGTTTGCCTTTTATTTTGCTGCATCATGTGAGTTGGAAAAGTTAATTAAGTTGGATGACTATTGATCCGTTAGTTTCTAAAAGTCAACAAGGATTTTTAAGAATAAGAAATTGCTTTTGGATCTATTCGAAAGTATAATATCCTATTGTAAGAGTTTAGAAGAAACCGACAAACTTTCTTTTAAAAGGACCATAATAATTTGCACGTTTAAAGTAGAAGGCATTGATAATTTGCTGACTAAGGTTTTCATTCATGGCCACGTTATATAAATGTCTAGGATAATAGTGATGTCTTAATCGAATAAAATAATGACATAAACTACATCAAAAAACACAGGTAAAAAATGTGTTAATAGACAACATGCATCGATTTTCATCCATCGGGATGGATCTATAAATAGATGCATAAAGATTGAGAGTGGTATCCCTTTCTTTACTTCGACTTGTTAGTGCCTGCCTACTACAAAAAAAATATATATATGGGTCTCAAAGGTAAATTAACGGCCCAAATAGAGATAAAGGCTGGTGGAGATGTATTTCATGAACTGTTTAGTAACACACCACACCAACTACCCAACATCAGCCCTAATATAATTCAGAGCTGTGATTTGCATGAAGGAGAATGGGGAACTGTAGGCTCTGTCTACTCCTGGAAGTTTACTCATGGTAGGCTTCTGTTATGTTTTTTATATATGTATTTCCTGTGGCTTGAAATATGGTAAAGTTCCTATAATTTCCATCATCATCATTGTTTATATTAATATTTATGCTATTTGAATCATCCACTATTAAGAGTCGGTTCATTTAAAAGGTCTATTAAGAGTAATTCATATCCATATATATATATTATAAATTTATTTCATTTATTCTATGTGGGATTTTCTCTTAATATGATCTCACAAGATGGTGTCTTTGAGAACACCAATCTTGAAATTTGATTGCTCATTTAACTTCTAAACGAATAGAATTACTCGTTTGTGATTAATGTGATTCGATATCATATTGAGATATTTACCCTTGACATTCAGTACTCTTGGTTCAAAATTAGGAAAAATCAGCTATTTGTTGCATTAAGTATAAAGGTGGAAAATTATTTTCTAATGGAATTTATTATTTATGCACATTTCTTGAGTTGTTTTAAGCTCACTAGCAAAATCAAAACTAATCAATAATTTTACTTATTGGTCAGGCCAAGTCAATTGATATTTCTTACGTGTGTATTTAACACAAGTTTGGTTCAAATAAAAAAGCTAATTACATATTTCACGAAATTCACAACTTTTCAAACATATATTCCATCAACGTTTATCAAAATTTAGTAAAAATATGATTTTATCTTAACCAAACAGCGATTAAATCAAATGCAGTCACGTTCAACTCGGCCTAGTATAATTGAGTTTAGTGAAGAAAAATTATTCCACTGAAAAGAATAATTGATATGTCTAAGTTAAAAAATATGTGCATTCAAAGATTCTTATCACTTTCATTAAATTGTAGATGGGAAGCAGAAAGTAGCCAAAGATATCGTTGAAGCCATTGACAAGGAAAAGAGGTCACTCACATTGACTACGATTGAGGGTGATCTACTCGAGTTATACAGAGTCTTTAAAACCATTTTGCAGGTTGAAACACATGATGACATTGATTTGGTAACATGGATCCTTGATTATGAAAAGTTGAAGGACGACATTGAAGAGCCAGTCACATGTTTGGGTGTTCACATTAACCTCTCAAAAGATATCGAGTCTTACCATCTTAATTAAGGCAAAATGATATGGAGTCTTGTGCTGGCTAATCCACTTGTGTTTGTCTGTGTGTTTCTTCTTAATTTGCTTTCCTTTTTCTTTTTTCTGTTTGGCAGTTTATATTATCATGTGGTGTAATACAAATAAAGGTCTCATATATATGGTGGCATGATGATGTTTGTGAATGAATACGAGGATATTCCTTCCTCGTGTTTGGAGCTTGTCTATTATATTGTGTGAATGTATCCGTTTGCTAATTTATTTAGCATATTATAGTTCTTGAAGAGAATTATAATAATAGTGACCACCCATTCAAGTCAAAAAAAGGAAAACTATCTGTTAGAAATTTGAGGATGTGATATGACGCGATATGAAATATATATCGCACAAACATATAAAGAACAAGATTTAAAAGAAAAGGCAAACAAGAAGATGAAATTGGCAGAGGAACTGAATACTTTTTTTAGTCTACCGTTGTTCTCTATTTAATTATCTTTTCTTTCTTTTCTTTTCCTTTCCTCATTAATTTTTTTTTGGGAACAAAGTCGGATTTCGCCCATTGATTGTACATAAAGTCAATGCTTACGTGTTTCATATATTATTCTAGCCTTTACTTCCTAATTCGAAAGTGTGTCTAGAATTAATTCTCTAATAATCAATATAATTTACCTCTCATCATTTCACTAAATTCTCCAATCTCAACAGCTCAAAGATAAAGATAATAGGGAAGTGTAAAAAATAAAAATAAAAATAAATAAATAAATAAAGGACAAGACATAATGCTCTATTCTAGAATTAAATCATTGTCTACGCTGAAAGGTTGACAATATGATTGTATTATGAACTGAATCCGATGAAATTACTAGGAGATGAATTTATGATCTCAATCTGATAATCCAATAATTCGTTAATTAAATGAAACAAATATGAATATAGATCAATTCGATCTGACAACAACTTAATCCGATTTATGGATTTGACATTTTCACAATCCCCATAGTCTCTAATTTAATGGCTATACAACCTTGATCTATTACCTCCAATTAATTATTCACTAGCAACCGACACAAAAAAACAGATGAATTATTATCTACAAATAAATGCATTATTTATTGTCTGGACAGGGTGGGGTAAGTTTAAACTTGTCTCCAATCACACGATTAAGCTACTATTTGATTTAATAATAATAATAATAATAATAATAATAATAATAATAATTTGACTAAATATGCAGATATAATGTTTAACTCCTGGTCTGGATTAAGACGACAATCAACATCTAATCAAGATTTTAAAGAAAAATACATAATTGAGCACAACTACTCAACTGCAATATTTTGACTTCTTTTATGGTTGGAAGGCAGCATCGTGTCATAGAAACTTTTCAAGAATTTCTAGTTATGTTTCATCTTTCGCGCAAGTGTTGGAAGAGATTCTTAATCTGTCATTTGAGTCCAGGTATAATTTATAACCCCATTTAGACTTCGATACTGATAAGAACAAAGAAGTAAATGGTGACTAGAATTACGACTGTTGTGCTATAAATCAAAAAATTGAAAAGAAAGTACAGTAAAAATAAAAAAATTGAAAATAATTTGCGATCATAGTTTAATAGACAAAATAACAAACGTAAATACAAACTAACAAGTAGATGTGATGATCCATGTTGTGTGCTCTTAGATAAACTCTTATCTATGAAAGTGATATTATTCTGGTTAAATGAGTGAAACAAAATGAGTAGCTTAAAGTTAATATAACCTATTGTGAGTAGTAAAGAACGATCTATTAGATGAAGATTAGATGATTTATTTAAAGTTAATATAATATTTATTTAAAAATTAGATGATTTCAAAAATAAAGTAGGTTACGAATGTGGAAGCGATCATGTCGGTTTTGTTGATAAAAGCATTCTTTCAATTTCCTTTAGCTGATCTTTCCTTAAAGTTTAGTCCTTGAGAAGCTTGACTATATCTACTGTTCTTCAATTTTATCCATCAAGTAAGCTAAATTATGGCATTTAGTCCCCTAATAAAGTATAGATTATTGCTTCT